AAAGATGAAATAAACAAGCAGGACTCAGTTAAAGGGAACACGCACAGGCAAATCAAAAACAGTAGTCTCCTTTCTTTTGACAGTGAAGATGAAAATTAATAAGTGTATAAACATTTTGGACTTAGTCTTCAAGAGCATATGGGGTGTTTTGAAAAATATTTTTTCCTATTATAAAGATAATACAAATGCATTATAATGCATTTAGAAAATACCAAAAAATTTTAGTAAGATAAAAATAGTGTCTATCCATCAGGACCCCTTTAAATGAAAATGTTAACTCTATAGATGTCAACTAGTATTAACACTTTGTTAATTCCCTTGTGGGGTGTGTATGCATGTAAATTATATTTTTTAACAAAATTTTGATTATATTGTGTCTGTTCTCTATCCTGCTTTTCAGTTGACATTATATTGTGCGTATTTTTCTGGGTCAGTAAAATGTAAAAAACTGACATTAATAGCTACAGATGATTTTGTAATTAAATAAATCTCCTATTGTGTTGTCCTCATTAGCAAAACCCCACTTTGGGTGGAGGAGACAATAATGTGTGTAGTCCAGAATATTTCTCAGCTCCTGCTATGGGAAGGCCTATGACAGTTCTGGCAAGTTTTGAGATACAAGTGGATTTTGTACAAGTAAGGATCTAATACAAATAATCTTGATACAAATTAGGATCTGATGTATAACATGGAGACTCTAGTAGGTAAAACTAAGGAGAGAGAGAGAGAGATGCAAATGGAAGTGTGCTTAATAAAGCTACTAGGGTTTTTGACACATAAAGACAGATTTGGCAAACATGTACCTTTGTCCAGTTTTATTGAGAAATAATTGACATAAGTCAGTGTATAAGTTTAAGGTATACAGCATAATGGTTTGACTTACATCTATTGTGAAAAGTATTAAAATATTTTTAAAGCTTTTGATCCTCACTTTCACATTGCTTTCTAGAGAGGCTTTTACCATTTTATTCATTTACCATCTACAGGAGCCCACTTTGCCTCATCCACGATAACAGTGTACCAACCATGGGCTGGAACCAGCCTTTTCATTTTTTTCAGTTTGATGTGTTGAAAATGGTGTTGAATAGTTGAATTTAATTGACATTTGATTTGCCAGGGAGGCTAAACTGTTTTTCATATTTATCACACCATTTTGTATTTTTGTCCAATTAACTTTTCATTTCCCATTAGTAATCATGTTTTTCTTCCTAATTTGTAAATTATATAATCTATCTTTCTTGTTGTTAAAAAAAAGTAAAAAATGAAAAAAGTAAAAAACCACTTGGTAGTCTCCTATAAAATTAAACATATGCTTACTATATAATTATGCAGTTCCATTCCTAGGTGTTTACCAAGAGAAATGAAAGCATATACTGACACAAAGACTAGTATGTAAATCTTCCCAAAAGCTTTGTTCAAAACAGTTAAACACTGGAAATAGTCCAGATGTCCATTAATAGGTGAATGGATAAACATACAATGGAATACTATTCTGAAATTAATAGGAATGAACTAAAGATAGATACAACAATGTGAAAGAACCTAAAGAATATTATGCTGAGTGGAGGAAGCCATACACAAATGAGTACATACTGTATGATATTTATATGAAACTCTAAGGGGAAAAAATCTAATCCAAAGTGAAAGAAAGCAGAGCAGGGTATTTAAAAAGAATGAGGTGGTTAACTGGGGCCAAGGAGGAGCTGATATGGTCTCAAAGGAATCTTTGAAGTAATGGAAGTATTCTATAGATGACACTTATGAGAGAGTGTATAAGGATAAGTGGTGATGGAAGGAGACTTGACTTGGGGTGGTGAACACGCAATACAGTGTACAGATTATGTATTGTGGAATTGAGCACCTGAAAGCTGTATAATTTTGTTAACCAGTGTCACCCCAATAAATTCAATAAAAAGGAAAAAAAGAGTGGAGAGGGGTATCAGCAAACAGAAATATCACAGGAGCACAAATTACCACACGGCTATGATAGTGTAATGGACTAAGGAGTAATAAAGATCAAGGAAAATATGGACCCCTACCACTGGAGCTATTGATTCTGAATGATCAACCACTTTTTGAGAACCAAAATGGTATACACAAAGGAGAGTCAGGCTTCACTTAAGCTCAAAACAGGAATTTGCATTTAGAGAAAAGGTTGAGAAGATAGGTGAATTTGCTTGTCATAGAGCAACCGAGTTGGGGCGTTAGAAGAGTTTGGGAGAAAAGTGTTGTAGAGAAGGAATGGGGCACTGGGTCATATTTAGTAATGTACTTCGTAAAAGAGATTAAACCTGACTGACAATGAATTAACAAAAAGGCTTGCCCCTGTAGTGGTATCTTGGTATCTGAGCTCAACAGGTTTATGAAGCATGATTTAATTCTGATTATCTCCTGGGGAGAGTGAGTACTGATTTTGAATGCTGTAGTCTGAAATGTTTTAATTTTTGTATCCCTAGAACTTAACTCTGCAAGACACAAAATAGACAGTTAATCTTGGGGGAAAAAAGAGAATAAGAAGTATATTATTGATAATAACAACAACACTATAGTTACCATTAAAAAGTACATTGTTAAGTCAGATGGGAGCAAATATTGTGCAGTCCATGGGCTGTAGGCTGGGCAGAGCAGTTCCACTCATTACACATCCACTACTGCACTGTGTTCAAGGTTGAGGAAATAGAGACATTACCCATGGCCCCCGCTCTCATGCAACTCCTGGTTTGCTGTAATAGACTTGTTATTGAAGAAATATACTAGACTTTTAGAAGTACTCAAAGGAAGTGAGACAGGGCAGTCACAGAAAACTTTCTAGAAGAGTCTTGAAAGAGAAACACTCAGTGGCATGCCTGGATCTCTTTTAAAATGCCAAACCTCTTTTTCCATCCATGAAGTATACCAAATGCTTTATTGAGGATACTACCAGCTTTGAGTAGCTAAGAGCTCCTCACAAGATGGCAGTTCTAATTAGCCCCCCTAGAGGCTAGAGCTCTAAAAGTCTCTACTGAGATATGGCACAGAAACATTTGCGTTTCAGTTTAGTTCTCTCTATCCATGCATTGTCACAGTGCTGTGAATGTGCCAAGGATGGGCAACTGCATATGGTGATAATCATAAATAAGGTAACTTGTTTCTCACATGCATTATTCCTTGCTCTGTGTGGTCAATGTGTTACTGAACTTTGGGTCCATTCTCAGAGCTTATAAGGCTATAAATTCAGATAGTTTGTTAATACAGACTAGCTATGTGGTTGACTCACTTTCCAATTTGTTAAGGGTGTCTCTGTTGAAACTGTACTGTCTCTTCCAGTCTGGATTTCCATTTGTGTAGCAAATGTATTATATTAGTAAGGCATTCAAGGAGGCAAAATATGAGAGGAGGCCCCAGAGGCTACAGCACACATGGCTGATTCTCTGGGTGGAGTTGATAGTTCATAGGCCTCATCTGCTTGCTTTTTTATATAACATCTCTCACCCAATTAGGACTTCCTTCCATACCCTATTCGACCTACTTCATGAGGCTCACATTCCCATCCTCTTGAGCATTCCAATAGTCAAAGGTTCTGACTATTCTCCCTTCCCTAAGTCTGGATGACTCTGAGTGCAACAACTGCTTCATCACCATTCTGGGGGATAGAGACTGTAGGGAATATTCATAGAAGGGGGGATGAAGGCAGAGGGAAATTAAGGAAATTGCCCAAGATAAAAAACAAGTGACAGAACTCAGAACTTCTGACTTCTAGAATAGGTATTCGAGACCTGAATATTATTGCTATCAATTATAAAATTATTCTAATATTATTTAAAATGTGTTTATAATTATACTACTATAATTAACCATATACTTATGACAATACTATTGTTAATGATAACAGTAAAATTAAGGGTGATGTTAATTATAGAAGCTACTATTTATTGAGTGATTTACCATGTGCCAGATATTGTGCTATGGGCTCTGTAAACATCATATTACTGGAACTCCCAACAAATCTCTGAGTCTGGTATCATCACACACATTTTACACATGATCAAATTGAGGCTGAGTGGGGTAAAATACCTTGTTCAAGGTCATATTAATAGCAAGTGGTGGGATTGCCAGACTTTCAGTCTTGTTAACCACAACACTATAGAGCTCAAATGTATATCTAAAATTTGAACAGATTAGAAAAATAAATAAATAGAATTAAAAGTGAATAAAGGAAAGTCTTTAATTTAGGTTAATAATACCACCAAGAAAAAGAATCAATTGATCTAACAGCGAACTCTGGTTTAGCAAAAACTCACGAGAAATAACTATTGGAATAGCTTTGGTTGTCCATGCAGCTCAATAGGACCTAGACTCTGATACAGCTAAAGAACCATTTTCTGCAACAGTTTGTTGCATTATTAGGAGAATAGTGTCCACAATAATGGAAGTGAATATCCTACTGACCTCAAACCAGATCCTTAGTCTTAGGCTCAGTTCTGGGCTGTTTAGAAGAGAATTACCAGAATGAGGGAAGAGGAGAAAGAGAAGGAACTGGCCATGTTCATTCTGGAGATAAACAGATTCAAGAGGAACCATAGTGACCCTCTCCAAGTCTTTGAAGGCTTGTTCTGGATAGAAGGGAACCAGCTTTTCTCTCCTGTGTTGCCAGAGAAAGAACTCTGAGATCAGTCAGTGGACCAGAAGTCAGAGGAAGGCAGATTCAACTCATAAGTTTTCTCTAATTAAAATGCTCTCTTACAATAAAATATGTTATCTACTCCTCAATAGAAATGTTTAAGAAGAGGCTAGAGGACAACTTTTTGAAATGTACTAGAGATTCCTATTACTGTAAGATTTGGGATGGGGTGGCTACTAGGTAGAAACATCCCACTTTGACATTCTCTGTTTTTTACTTTAAAGGGCCTGTTTGAGTGGGAGGTATAGCTCCTCCTTTTAAGTAGAAAGTTGGTAATCTTATCAAGTATGCTCTAAATGTCTTTGAGTGACAACTGGGTTCTTATCTTCTCTCTCCCCAGGTGTCACCACTGTTCTCACCATGACCACCCTGAGTATCAGTGCCAGAAACTCTTTACCTAAAGTGGCATACGCGACGGCCATGGATTGGTTCATAGCCGTCTGTTATGCCTTTGTATTTTCTGCGCTGATTGAATTTGCCACTGTCAACTACTTCACCAAGCGGAGTTGGGCTTGGGAAGGCAAGAAGGTGCCAGAGGCCCTGGAGATGAAGGTGAGATACAGTAAGGGTAGGGGCTGGGAAGCACTACCTGAGAGAACTGTATTGTAACCAGGAGTGGGCAGCCTGCAGCCTGTGGGGACTGGCCAAGGCTGTGTGCTATTCACTGGGGTCATCAATCCAGTTCTCAACTGGAGTGTTTCTTGGCGATGCGGAATGTTTGCTGGGGGCAAAGAGAAGAGGGTAGGTATCAGAGGGTTGATGTCTTTTGGTGAGGGACCAAACATAAGTTTGATACTGCTAAACTCAGGGAGAACACTTTGTTTTTAAAAAGTCAACTAGAAAAGTGGACTCTATTTTCAACCCAGAGAACAATCTCTAGGGCTACCTCTGCTGCTCAGTTTCCAGTATGTTCCCATTATAGTGAAACCAAAGTGATCATCATTCCTTCTGTGTATTTGCTTATTTTTCACTCTCTATCTGGAATGTTCTTTTTTCCCTGCCTGGTGAAGACCTACTCATTCTTCAAGACCCAGAGGAAATACTATTTTCTTCATAGAGCATTTCCAGAGTCATCAAGATAGCTTTAGCTTTTCTTGGGGTGGGAAGATTACTCTTAATATTAAAAGCATATTTATATTAGAGTTATTTGCCTCTCCCTATACTTAACTTCTTGAGGGCAGAAGCTTGTCTGAACCATCTTTGTAACTAGCCATAATCCTTGCACATCTGACTCATAGTAAAAACTGAACAAATGTTGGTTGGGTTGGTGGATGGATGAGAAGGAAGAAAAAGGGGAGAAAAAACCCACAATAAACAAACTGGAATTTGGTAGAAATAAAACAGTACAGTCAAATCAAGATTTTTGTCCTTGGCTCATTTAAGAGTTCAGACCTCTAGATCTAAATGAAGACTATCCAAAGACACTAAAAAAACCTGGCAGATGTGTTCACAGAACCATTCCAGTACTCTTTGAAGAATCATGGAGAAGAGAAAAGACCATGAAGGTTTTTTTCAAACTGGAGGAAAAAATATATATTCCATAAAATACAGATTGGTGAGTTGGCAAATTTTTTAAATAGATTTTAATGGTTTATTTAGATAGAATTTATTAACTCCTTGCTATAAATTATGAAGAAATAAGCATGTTTCTACTTCCTCCATCTACTCTAACATAAAATTTTTTTGGTCAGTTTTATTATTATACTTAGTCTAGTTGTTACCTTTGTGTCCTTAAAATATTTACCCATCTAATACTTGATTTATCAGCTATGAACAGGGTCTGTTGACCCCTCACTCACTACAAGATATAAAAAATTAGCATACTTATCCTAGCTTTTACCTCATCTTTCTACCAGTCCCTGTCATGTCTCAAATTTGGTTTATTTTACTACCATTTCTGAATTGTCAAGTTTTATATAACTTACATGCTATTATGCAGCCATAATTCTTATAGTTGATTAGTCATAGTTCTACATTTAAATGAACTATCTTCTCAAAATTGTCCTTTTATTTCATTTTCCCATTCATTGTTTAGGCTAACCTCTAGAAGTTTCTTTAAGAAGGGCTCATGGGAACCATATTTCCCACTATTTTGCATGTGTAAAACCATCTGTCAATTATGTGTATAACTTGAATTATAGTTGGGCTGTTTTATAATTCATGGGTCACATTCTCTTTCTCTGATGTCCATGTACACATTGAATGTTGTTATGAAGAAATTTAAAACCAACCTGAGAATCTTGCACATAATAAGGGACTTGATTTTATGCCCTAGCCAATATGCATGTTTCCTTTACTTACAAATTTCATTTACTTGACAATGAATTCATCTGTATGAATTTTTCCCAGGACAGCATATTAACCTTTAAGCCAACAGATTTACAGCTATCTTTGTTTGAGGAAAGCTTTCCTAAAACATATCTTTGTTCTGTTTTCTTCCTAGAAGCACAAATTATATATATCATAGGAATTTGTCTTTTATATCTATCATTTTCCCTAATAAATTTTAACTGTTATTTTCCATTTCATTTTGCTCATTTTTCTCAAGCGTGTCATTCATATCTCTGACCAATTTTCACCACTGTCTATTTCACCTTGATTCTATGATATTATTATTTTTCTTTTATTTATTTTTAATTTTTTAATATTCAATATTATTTTATTAGTTTCATGTGTACAGCACAGCAGTTAGACAATCATATACTTTACAAAGCATTCCACCAGTAATTCCAGGACCCACATGGCACCATACATAGTTATTGCAATATTATTGACTATATTTCCTATACTGTACTTTACATCCTTGTGACTATTCTCATCTACCTATCTGTACTTCTCAATGCCTTCACCTTTTTCACCCAGTCTCTCAACACCTAGCCCACCTGGCAACCCTCAATCTGTTCTCTGTTCTCTGTATCTGAGTCTGTTTTGTTTGTTCATTTATTTTGTTCTTTAGATTACAAAAATAAGTGAAATCATACAACATTTGTCTTTCTCCGACTTACTTATTTCACTGGGCATAACACCCTCTAGGTCCATCCATGCTGCCACAAATGGTAAGATTTCATTTTTTTTTTATGGCCGAATAATAGTCCATTGTATATATGTACCACCATTCTTTATCCACTCGTCTATTGATGAGCACTTGGGTTGCTTCCATATCTTGGCTATTGTAAATAACGTTGCAATGAACATATGGGTGCATACATTCTTTCAAATTATTATTTCGGGTTTCTTTGGATAAATCCCTAGAAGTGAAATTGCTGGGTCATAGGCAATTCCATTTTTGGTTTTTAAAGGAAATTTCATACTGTTTTCCACAGTGGCTGCACTAATCTGCATTCCTACCAAGAGTGCCCTTTCCTTTACATCCTTGCCAACACTTACCATATGTGCATTTATTGATGGTAACCATTCTAACAGGTGTTAGGTGATATCTCATTGTGGTTTTCATTTGCATTTCTCTGACAATTGGTGATGTTGAGCATCTTTTCATTTGTCTCTTGGCCATCCATATGTCCTCTTTGGAAAAGTGTCTATTCAGTTGCTCTGCCCATTTTTTAATTGGGTTGTTTGTGTTTTAGGTATTGTGTTGTATGAGTTCCTTATAAATTTTGGATATTCACCCCTTAGCAGATGTCTCATTGGTGAATGTGTTCTCCCATTCAGTGGGTTGTCTTTTTGTTTTATTGATGGTTTCCTTTTCTGTGCCAAAACTTTTTAGTTTCATTATGTCCCATTTGTTTATTTTTCTTTTGTTTTCCTTGCCTGCGAAGATCTTTCAGAAAAAATATTGCCAAGAGAAATATCAGACATTTTACTGCCTATTTTTTTCTAGGAATTTTATGGTTTTGAGTCTTACATTTAAGTCTTAATGCATTTTGTGATTATTATTGTATATGGTGTAAAAAGGTGTTCTAGTTTCATTTTAGGCATGTACCTGTCCAATTTTCCCAGCACCATTTATTAAATAGGCTCTCTTTACCCCATTGTATGCTCTTGCCTCCTTTGTCAAATAATAATTGATGATAAAGGTGTGGGTTTATTTCTGGGCTCTCTATACTGCTGCATTGGTCTGTATGTTGGTTTTTATGCCAATACTATACTGTTTTGATTACTATAGCCTTGTAGTATAGTTTGATATCAAGAAGTGTGATACCTCCAACTTTGTTCTTTCTCAACATTGTTGTGGCTATTTGGGGTCTTTTGTGGTTCCATATAAGGTTTTGGATTATTTATTCTTGTTCTTTGAAATAATCCATTGGTATTTTGATAAGAAATGCATTGAATCTTTAGATTTCTCTAAGTAGTATGGGCATTTTAATGATGTTAATTCATCCTATCCGTGAGTATAGTGTGTGCTTCCATTTAACTGTATTTTCTTCAGTTTCTTTCTTCCCTGTCTCATAATTTTCTGAATACAAGTCTTTTACTGCCTTCATTAAATTTCTTCCTAAGTATTTTATATTTTTATGCAATTGTATTGAGATTGTTTTTCTAGTTTCCATTTCTTATAGTTCATTATCGGTATGTAAAAATACAATCATTTTCTAAATATTTATTTTGTGTCCTGCTACTTTACTGAATTCATTTATCAGTTCTTGTAGTTTTTTGGTGGAATCTTTAGGGTTCTCTGAATATGCTATCATGTCATCTGCAAATAATAACAATATTACTTCCTCCTTTCCAATTTGAATACCTTCTATTTCTTCTTCTTGTCTGATTGCTGTGGCTAGGACTTCCAGTATTATGTTAAATAAGAGTAGTGAAAGTGGCCATCCCTGTCTTGTTCTTAACCTTAAGGAAAATGCTTTTAGTTTTTCTCCATTAAGTATGATGTTAACTGTGGTTTGTCATATATGACCTTTATTATGTTGAGGTATGAGCCCTCTATTCCTACTTTGCTGAGAGTTTTTATCATAAATGGGTGTGGGATTTTGTCAATGGTTTTTCTGTATCTATTGATATGATCATATGATTTTTATCCTTCATTTTGTTTATATGGTGTATCACATTAATTGATTTGTGGCTATTGTACCAAACTTGCTTCTCAGAAATAAATCCCACTTGATCATGGTGTGTGATCTTTTCAATGTATTGCTGGATTTGGTTTGCTAATATTTTGTTAAGGATTTTTACATATCTATTCATCAGAGGTATTTGCCTATAATTTTCCCTCTTTGTATTGTCTTTTTCTGGTTTTGGGTTAAGATAATGCTGGCCTTGTAAAATGACCTTGGGAGACTTCCCTACTCTTGAATTTTCTGGAATAGTTTGAGAAGGATAGGTGTTAGTTCTCTGAATGTTTGGTAAAATTCACCAGTGAACCTTCTGGTCCAGGGCTTTTGTTTGTTGAGTTTTGGGGTTTTTGTTTTGTTTCTTTTTTTCCCCACAACTTTGATTTCATTAGTTGTAATCAGTCTGTTCAGATTTTCTTTCTTCTTGATTCAGTTTTGGAAGATTTTATGTTTCTAAGAATTTATGCATTTCTTCCAGATTGTCCAAATTGTTGGCATATAGTTGTCTGTCATATTTTCTTATAATGCTTTGTA